AAGATTAGTTTCTACTTGGTGCTGGTACCAGACTACACAGAGGAAACAGAGAAAGCAAGATGAGGCAGGGCAGTGGAGGTACCTTAGCATTTTAGCTGAGAAATGGTCTGGCACCTTATGAAATCTGACACGCTAATGGTCAAAACTGGAACCACTATAAAACAGAATGTACCTCAAAAGTAAAAGCAGTTAAGCTTCTATCACTTTCTTTTTCTTTAAAGGTGCCTTTAAGTGAAATACTTCACATGATGGTTGTTTGGCTGTGGGTCTTGCATCATCGCGGTTTGAGTGTTTCCAACTATTTGTCTTTAACTTTGGAAAAAGAAGATGCACTGCCAACAACCAAAAGTAAACAGTATTTATCCATACATAATTCACCCATACCTTAAATCATGAGTTTTGCTCCATGAAACATAAACTGTTCAGAGTCAGTGCAGGATTACCCAATCAGAAACAATAAATAAAGCCATTACAATAGGAAGAAAATTGGGCAGTTAGAATACATTTGTTTCTCTTAAGTAACACAAATATGAAATAAACAGATGAATTAAAGAGCTCTCATGCATGATTTGCAGCAGAAAATATTAACTGCTTGAATGACAAGGTTAAACTAAGCTTACAAAAGCCCCTAGGACAAACAGTAGCTGACTCATTATTAGGCTATGAAAGTAGAAAACAATCTGCAGTTCACATTAAAGGAAGGGGTTTAAGAGTTGTTTTTTTGGTTTTTTTTGTTATTAAGTTGATTGACTATGCAGGGGACCTGCATTAAGACATTTCAACTTAGTAATGTTTTTTAATGTTCTAAGCTTGTCCTAAACTGTAGACCATCACAGTACCAACAGAACGATTAGCAGAGTTTAGGCCCTTCATGCAAAGCACTGGGTTTTAGTTTTGTGTTGTGGGGAGGAGGGGGCATGGTCTATACTCTTGTCCAAATATAAGATTCAAAATCTGTCCTCATAAAGGCTGTGTAAACTAATTTGGATCCTTCTTCTGCCATTGACTAAACCCTAGACAGTAAAAATTGAATCCTTTCAGATGCTTATTAACTCAGTGCTATCAAAACCCCAAAATACTACATCTTGTTTTGAGAAATGCTCTAGAATCAAAAATTGTAATGAGAAGCATCTGAAATAAGGAATTGCCAGAAAGGACAAAAAAGGAGTGAAATGCTGATTTTATTTCAGCAGTAGAAATCTACAGTAACTTTTAATGCAACGGATGCATTCTACCGGGTTCCAGCTTGGTAAATGAGATCAACATTAAGGAAAACTAAATATTCAACAGTGAAGAGCTATGCTATTTAGAGAAAATAGAAAAGGGAGACTTTCAGGGTTTTAGTAGATTGACAACCAAGTCAGTAGATTGTATTACTGTTACAGTGAATGAGGCACTGTCATTTCCAGACTATTGTTTCCCCTGCCAAATTATCCCTTTATATGAAAGGAACTATCACAACTGTAGGGACTTAAAGAAAAACATATTGTGTTAAAGAAAAGGAGAAACTTAAACAAACCAAAATGAAATGTAAACAAAATTAGCAATATGATTCAAAGCCACAAAACTATAGCAACACAGTAAAGTCTGAAAGTCTGAAATGCCAGCTTGGCATTGTGTCCCCCACTGAAACTTTTGAGCCACTTACTCATTTTTTATTGGGTTTTGGTTTTCTTTCCTTCACAAAAGATAAGGGTACTTCTAATTAAAAAATATTTTGTGAGCAAAATGACATTTCCCATAATACTTGAAAAAATTTTTCAATTACTTTTTGAATTTCAGGTCTGGGTAATGAAAATTATGTTACAGGAAAAACAGATAAATTCCCAGGTTAAATAAGAATACAAAAATCTTAAACCATATAAAGGATTATTCAAAGTTTATCCAGCCCTCACACATAGAGGAGCCTAAAACAGCGACTTCTTGCATTCAATGCATACTTTTTAAATAAGAAGATTTGTCCATGAGGTAAATTATCTGAGTAGTCTAACACTGTCTCAGTATGCTAGCATGTCTTGCTCTCCTACATATCAAAGTCCCTTTATCCAGATTTCTTCCAGCAGAGGCCAGACTAGCTTTATGAACAGGTAGCCTACCCACTGTATCCAAGCTGGGGTGCATGTACCCCAGGAGAGGCACAGCTGAAGCGCAGGAAGAAAACATTTTTTGCACTATTAATAGATTACATTAAAAAAAATAAAGTTATGGTTATTTCATCCTTTTTTTAACTTCTGTATTTGCAAATGTTTTACAATGTACTTAATTTATTATTACAGTAGTATATATATGTAATTTACCAATAGATATACACTTCTTGAGGATATGAGTTTAAAAATATTTTACTGATTATTAAAAAGTAGTGAATACATATAATGCTTGAGAATACCTTCACCCACAGACCCAGCCTGAAAAATTACAGTTTCAGCAAGTGATATTTCTTAAGCTTGGCTGAATTTGACCTATCACCACTCCTGATTTTAGGAAAATACAGCAGCATCTACATCTCATTCCATCATACTATATGTTTAGTACCCTTATGCTATACCTTTCTAAATGCTCTTGATCAGCTTGTGTATAAAGCTGGTTACTGAAACAAGTAATCCTAAAGCATGAGGAAAAAAAATTCAAGACTCTTTACAGAATATGTCACTTCATGACAGGGCTCCCATTTTACTGTATAAGACAGAGGAGAACAAAAGGTCAAAATACAAGTATTTGAAAACTCTGACTATGAGAAAAGTAAAAACCCCTTCCATTTCCCCAGTATGTGACGCTCTCTAGACTCCTTTTTGAGTTCATTTTCATTATCTTGCAATAACTAGTTTCTGAGAAGGATCATAAACACAAGTAACCTCAGAAAAATGCTTTGGCTTTAAAAAAACAACTAGAAATCTAATGGGAAGAATTATTATTGTGTAACTTCCAGCCCAAACTAAGAGATACAGGTGGCTTGGATCGTCCTTACAAACATCAGATTAGCCTTCAGTTTCAGATGCTTTATATTAGGTTAGCCTTAGGATTTGAAGACATATTCTTAGCTCAGTTTAAATCAGTGGGAATTTTACTGTAGACTCCAAGGTGCCCTTACCTTCCACAATTTTACCTTAACAAGATATCAGTGCTTGCCAAAAATTGTATCTTGATTTATTTGCACAATATTACTAAAAGCATTTGTCTTAATATGTAATGGGTTCAAACTTTCAGGTAGTATAAACCAGCGTAGCTCATGAACTATGCCAATTTAACCCATTTGAGAATCTTCTGGTGGGGTTTATCCCACTTAGGATCATTCATAGCAGTAAAGTAATTAATTTTAAAATCTTCCTCATTTTACACAGCAGGCAGTCACAGTGGTTTCACCCAGGGCTACATTTTTTGTGGCTATAGTCTTCAAAACAAGCAAACCCATCCTTTCAAAAATGTATTATTCCATAAAAATAAGCATGCAATTAACCTACTTTATTCTTTATTCAGTCCTGGTACCACCAAGAAATTATATGTTATATTTAAATATAGACGATGCAAATATGCTTTTGCAAGACTGTTTACAATAGAAACTTTGAGTAACACTGGTTCATTTCTACTAAAAAGTTGGCACTGTATCTTATTTTGGATAAATATTTATTACTGTACTGTATAAAAGCATTACCAATTTAGATAAGAAATAGAAATGTGAAATCTTAAAAACCTTCACCTGTCCATCCTCTCTCTAAGATTCCATCTAGCAAATGCTCTTCAAAATTTTTAGCAAAAGGTAGGACTGTTCAGAAAGTGATATCTTTTACTACAAAACTTGTTTCTTCAGCTTCTGCTCTGCTATAGTCTCTTCTGAGTCAAGTTCTTTTCATTCAGAAAAAAACACATAAAATAAAGTAATTATCCAAGCCTGTAACTATGCAAGTGCTGTGTGAAATAAATTGTCAAAGATGGTTAACTTTCCATTGGTTTCCATGGAGTAAGGATTGTAAAATAGCATAAAATAATTTAGGTTGGAAAGGACCCTTGAAGGTCATCTTGTCCAACCCCCCTACAAGAAGCAGGTCATCTTCAACTAGATCGAGATGCTCCAGCCTGATCATGAATGTCTCCAGGGACAGGGCATCCAACATTTCTCTGGGCAATGTTTCACGACCCCCATCATAAAATATTTCATCCTTATATCTAATCTGAATCACTCTCTTTTGGTTTAAAACCATTACCCCTTTTCCTATCACGAGAGGGCCTGCTAAGAAGTTTGGTTTCATCTTACCTATAAGCCCTCTTTAAGTATTGAAAGGCTACAACAAGGTCCAAAATATTTTCTCAAATTATTACTGAAATTCCTGCTAACTTCCATGAAGTTACAACAGCAGTAAGTAACTTCAGTAAGCAAGTACCGACTGGCAAAATGATGGATAAACATCATCACTCTGACTGTCACCAAATATGCATTTGCCACTAAGTTTCACATGTCTGAGGATTTATGTGGCACATATATTGCTGAACTCCGTGCTTATAAAAAGTGTAACATTTATAAAAATGCTAATAAACAAAAAGGTTCTTTTCTACAACAGAGAAGAATAAAAATATATTATTCCAAGGTAAACTAACAAGGATACTCTTAGAAAAAAGTAAGGAAGATGATACATCTTTTTGACTGATTTGAAGACAGAGGCCAATTTCCCATGAATTTTGCTAGAAAAAGGATTATGAATTGTGGTCCAAGTTATTCTAGATGTATTTGCTGATTTCCCTAATATGACAACAGCAAGAAATAATTCCAGAAAGTAAATGTGACTGCCAGTAAACTAGAGAAAAATGAGCCTTACTTTCTCCGACAACATCCCAAGACCCATATTGACACACTTTGCTCCAAAGTTAAAGACTTCAGTCAGTGGCAAATCAATATAGTGATATCTAAAAGATACATTGTTTTGATATAGGATAAGAAATTGTTTTTTAATTTGCTACAGTGAATAAACAAAGTATTGAGTGCACAAACCTAAATCGATTTCACTGACCTTGAAGCTGGCGTCCTCTGTACAAATCCTTTGTTTTTGTTGGGTGAGCTCTGGCACCATTATCACATTTAGGTTGTTCATACCTAAGGAACAAACAGGGAGAGAATAAAACCGGCCAAGGTTAATTTGATTCAGGAGGAATTTATTTCCAACTTTGTAGTCCAAACAAAACTCGTACCTTCTTATATTCAGGGAATTATCCTGCTTTTCACTCAGAAGGGTGATGCAAACTTATCTACCTATTTTTCACTTACCTAAAAGAAACCACCATATCTTTGTTCTCCCAGGGTTGATGTCAAAGTAAAAAAATATTATCTATTCCAAAGGTCATTCTACAGGGCAGAAAACTAAAGAACTGTTACAAATTAATTTATAATAAAAATTATTTTGAAAAATACACCAAAGAAAACAAAAAAATCAAAAAAAGGTAAGGGTCTCCCCCCCACCTACAAAACCAAAAAGACATAAACAATATGACAAACAGTATTCATGCTGTGAAACACCAGAAAAGCAATTTCAAAATCACAGCAAGGCAAGTACTCTACTTAGATACTGCGGCAGCTCTAAAACCATGTGTTACTGTATCCTCTCAAAAAAAAAAAAAATTAAGTAAGAAGGACTAGCCATAAACAGTTAACTTTTTGAACAAGAGTGAAGAATTGATAGGATTTCTACCAGAAGGGAATTGGCCTGCAACTGCTCAAATGAATGGTGAAAAACACTGAATCTCCACCTGCTACTGAAATATTCTGATTCCTCTATGCTTAGTTTACTTAAAGTCACTTTGTTCATTGAACTGGTAACAAGAAACTGTGTTATTTGTACTTCCAATAAACGCTGACTTATGCAACACCACTTGGAATATCTTTTATGTAAGACCCGGGGACATGGGTGCATCTGATGCTGAATCTCACCTTTTTTTTATGTCTCATTGTCATTGCATCGCAGTTTTTAAGTCAGATCGACAGAATCTCTTTCTGAAAAATTTTACTGTCATATTCTCCTATTGGGGCTGGAAATTGCAGAACTTAGCATGCAGCATTTCAGACAAAGTTTCAATTCTGAAATAAACACACTTACTAATATGAATTGCGTCCACGTACATGTGTGTGCACATACAAGCCTGTTCACTGATTCTAGATTCTTTCATGTTTTATATAACCAAAATTATACTATTCTAAGTCTATCAAAATGACATTTACTGAGTGGCACACTAAAATGTCTAATTAAAATATACTAATCCAAACTTTTTAGAACATAATATTCTTTCTAAAAACATTAAATGGTAGCTATGTCCTGGGTCCAGGCCAGACTGCTCCCAAGAGCAATACCTAAATATTTTGATCTTAATTATCAGGCAGCATAAAAAAAAAAATATTATTTTTCCGTTGAGGGCTTAATATATTTCTACATCATCTGATGAAACTGACCACTGGTTCATCAAATTCTATCTGCTGCAAGAAGGTACAGTGCTGTTTTTAGGGACATGGGAGAGCTAGAGACTCTTTTTTTTACCTCAAGAATGGCAGGCATAGAAGGTGCTTTAATAGCATGGGTTGAATTCAGATACCTGATGGATGACCACTTCAATCAGCCAAGGAAACAGTGAAAGGGAAATTAGTGAGCAATACTCACTAATGCAGTATCTGGCAAACAGCCTGGTCCCCGATTAATCTGATACCTGACTACATTCCCCCCATCCTCTTCCATTAGTGTTTCTACTCTGTGCCTACATTTTATTTTTTGGCCTCTACTCTTCTACTCTTTTGGCTTATATTTTTGTTAAATACACGTGTAGTTCATAATATACGAACTAAATGTATTAAAGCCCAATAGGTGTTAAATGCTTAAATGTCAAAGATCTACGTTTAACTCTTTAAAGCAACTGAAGAAAGAAAATGAGTCACTAGAAATTTACCATGCAGTAACAGCCATAGTAAAAACAGATAAGAAAAACAGACTTGCCCCAGTTTTCATGGAGAAAGAATGGGAAAGGGATAGCATGTCAGAATGGAGCACTGTCAGGTTAAAAATAATGTAGTCAAAAGACATCCCAAGTTGCTCTTTTGAATTTTAAAGGGGAAAGAATCCCTACAAGTGAATGTGTATCTGGTATTGGCAAGGACTTACGAAGGGTGTTTTGTACCTCTGATCAGTCTGCTGGGAAGCACTGAGATTTACTGATGTGTAAAAGTAGTACAGGATGGAGGCTTTCACAGGGATTCTACAGTGTAGGTAGCCTCATGAAACAGATGATTTACAATCTTTTTTTAAGTTTAGAGAATCTCGTGCAAGTGGATTGGGGATTACTTTTCATATGGTCCTAATTGCTAAAAAGTCCCATATGAGAACACAGCCTCATGGCCCCCACTGAACAAAAAAGGCTGAGAATCATACTATGATACCCAAGAGGCATTCAGAGCCAGCTGGTGAGGATCATACTGATAAGCCTTTCGGGAGGATAGTCGTTTTTACCCTTTAAATGCATTACCTCCTTTTAATTAAATGGATGTATTCCCTAGGTTTTTATAAAATCCAGACTTATACCACAACTTCACCTATTTCTTTTGAGATTTACTGTTTTAAATGTCCTAGAGTCGTTCTTCATTGACATATCTTTATTTTAACTCTAGGATGAGATTATTTTTTCTGAAAAATAATTATTTGTCTTTTTTTCAGATGACAGTGTATTAGAAGTTGAATGAGTATTAATAACTTCTCTTCATTTTGGGGGTCTTATTTAACGTGACTAACTTTATTTATTGTGCTATTCAGAGCCTTATGATTTGACAAATATCCTCATGAATACTTTCAAAAGAAACAACATGCAAAATGCTAAACTGTTCTGGCAATAGCTTCCCAGATTTGTCTTTTATTGTGTCCCTTAGTGATTTAATCAATAGTCGCAGAAGAGAGATTCCAGTATACTATGCATCCATATTGTTACCAGGAGTGTTTATGCTATCAGTTCCTGCAGTACCATTTTAACACCTTTTAATTTCTATTTTGCAGTGGAAAACTGAAAGATAGTACACCCAATTTTGCACAAGCTCCTGGTTCTTTAAACTAGAAAAGACTTACATGTTCACTCTTTCCATTCTATAAAAAAGAATTGCAAAAAGACACCTGTATAATCCTTATCATATTCTGATCCCCCTTACCTCTCTCTGCCAGAGAAAAAAAATTTAATTTTATCAATACAGAAAAATAAAAAAGAAATAATTTATGGGATTCCAGCCCACCTAAATATTTCTCAGAAATGAGGTCTAGACATTCCTCTTAAACTCCTGGCAGTAATTCCACCTGCTTGTTTACCAAGACTGTAGATTCCTAAATACACCAGTCATTCTTTATTTAGTATGAAATTCCTAAAACTGAATACTCTACTTACCCATCTGTGCTCAGAAATGTCCCCTCAGGGGATATTATTAAATATTACTTCCTCAGAGCTTTATTGAAAACTGCCCATAAGTCCAATAAAGATGAACAAATTAGGAATGGCCAAGACCACAGCAGCTGATCTTTTTAGTATAAGTCATCAAGGAGAACACTTTTGTGTCTGAACTATATGCATGGAATGATTGAATCCAATTTTCCAGCCTTCCAGCTTTGGAGGCATGCAGCACAGTGAAAACACTCCTACTGCCTCTTCTCCCACAGCTGAGTGACTGTGTAGTTGAGAAATACAGGAGGCCAGCAGACCAAACAGGAAAAAAAGAGAAGAGAGAGACTGATTCAAAGTCCATAGGGGATTCATCAAGGGGTTGGGAAGACCTAGAATTCCAGCCTATATGACAGGAGGAGTCACATGGCACATAGTGCATTCACACTACACATATGAATAGGAAAGTGAGCTGTTTGATTTTCAAGGATGTCCACCTCCAGTTTCACAAACAGATTATACCGATGTGCAGGATGTGACAGGAAACCTGCGCAGATGAACAAAGAGCACCTAACAAAATGTAGATTTAAAAAGGAAGGATACAACGGGTAGAAATTGGGTCAGGTGACGCAGGAGGTGATACAGACACTCTTCAACTATTCAGCGATGGGGTTAGGAAAGCTAAAGCCCTTTGGAGGCAAATCTAGTAAGGAGCATGAAGGGCAACGAGAAGGACTTCTTACATGTGTATCAGCAGCAAAAAGAAGACTAAGTAAGTGTGGACCTGCTGCCGGGTGGGACAGGAGAGCTTGTAACAAAGGACATAGAGAAGTACTTAATACCACCTTCTCCTTGGTCTTTATTTTTAAGACCAGTCTTCAGGAATTCCATGTCACTGAGACCAATAGTAAAGTCTAGAGCAAGGAGGATTTACCCTGGGTCGAGAAGGGGTTATTTGAACAAACTGGACATACACATGGGACCTGATGGGATGCACCCACCATTGGTGAGGGAGCCAGCTGATGTCATTGTGGGGCAGTCTCAATTATATCTGAAAAGTTCTACTGACTGTTTAAGGAGATTGGAAGAAAGCAAATGTCACTTCTGCCTTCCACAAGGGCAAGGAAGAGCCAAATGATAAACCAACCAGGCTTATGTCAGTTCCAGAGAAGGTGATGAAGCAAATCTTCCTACAAGCTATTTCAAAACATATGAAGGAGAAGAAAGTAGTGATTGAGATCAGCCAGTGCAGAACTATGAAGAGGAAATCATGCTTGGCCAGCACTGCAGCTTTCTACAATTCTCTAACTTGCTCAGTGGATAAAATGAGAAGGGGAGATATTATTTATCTTAATCTTAGCGAGGCTTTTGACATTGTGTCTGATCACATTCTCATAGATAAACTGATGAAGTATGTGCTAGATAAATGAACAGGGATGTGTGTTGAAAACTAGCCGAACAGCCAGCCTCAAATAGTTGGGATCAGCAGCAAAATTTCAGCTGGAAACCAGTCGCCAGTGGAGTTCCCCAAAGCTCATAGAGGCAATATTCTTTAACCTCTTCATTAATGACCAGGATGCTGGGAGACAGAACAACTTTAGCAATTTGCAGATGATACATAGTTGGGACTAGTGACTGATACGTAAGACGATTGTGCTACCATTTAGAGGGACTTCAACAGGCTGCAGAAATGAGCTGGCAGGAATCTCATGAACTTCAAAAAAAGGCAAATGCAAAATTCTTGCACCTGGAGAAGATTAGTCCCCTGCATCAGTATGGGATAGGACAAATCAGCTGGAAAGCAAATTTGAAGCAAGAACCTGGTATTTCTGATGGACGCTAAACTGTGCATGAGGCAGCAATGTGCCTTTGCAGCAAAGAAGGCCAACAGCCTCCACGGCTGCATTAGAAAGAGTACTGCCATTAGGTCAAGGGAGGTGATCCCTCTCATTCACACTGAGAGAAGGAGACATATCTGAAAAGTTGTGTGCAGCTCTGAGCTCTCCAAACAAGGGAGATGTGGATATACTGGAAGTGAGTCTAGCAAAGGGCCATTAATATGGTCAAGGGACTGAAACATTTGACATAATAAGGAAAGGGTACTGACACTGATCACCCTGGAGAAGAGAAGGCTCAGGGAGGATCTTATTATTTTCTATAAATACCCAAAGGGAGGAAAATAAAGAAAACGTAGTCAGACTCTTCTTGGTGATGTCCAGTGTCAAGAATTGAGGCAATGGGCATAAAATGAAATAGAGGAAATTTTGTGTAATTGTAAGAAAAAATTTTTTTTTTAACCATAATGATGATCAAACACTAAAACAGGCTGCCCAGAGAGGCTGTGGATTCTCCATACTTAGAGATACTCAGAACTAACTGGACATAATCCTGAGCAATCTACTCCACATGACCTTGCCTTGAGTAGAAGGGTTGGACCAGAGGATCATCAGGGGTCCCTGCCTATCTCAGCTATTCCGTGACTCTATAATAAAATTATACTAATAAGAACTACAAAAAAAAAATAAAAGAAAAACAAAACAAAATAAAACCAATGACAAGAAAAGCCCACCAATAAACAAAACCCAGTAAAACCAAAACCAAAGTGGAACCCTCATTGCTTGATGAGCACAAGAAGATGATTTGGACTCAAATTAGGGAATAGGAAATAAAATTATTTAAACTATAATTCAAAGAAGGATTAGCACTAAAAGGAAGAAACAGTGAACAAACGTAGGGATGGAGAACAGAGCAGGAGCATAAAAGAGAGCCTCTGGAATCTCTAGTGAACATCTCTAGGTCCAAACACAATATGTGTACTCATCCTGCAGTTTCAGGAGCAAATTTGGACTATTTTGTTTTGACAGTTTATGGGCTTCAGCTTGCCAGAAACAGTAGATCAACTGTAACTTAACTCACAGCGTTATAGAATGCTTAAGGTTGGAAAAGACATCTAGGCTCACTGAGTCCACTTCAGATGGTATTGTAATTGTCATGGTCTAGACTGTGGTATAAACAGCTAGCAGTAAATCAGCACTTGAAGAATATGTGAAAAAACTCTCCCCAGTAATATAATATTTTACAGCAAGTGGCTTATAATGTGTGTTTCTTTCACAAACCTTATATAAATGATAAAAAATGATTTTGCTTAAGCTTGAAAAGAGTTATGATCACATCAAGATACCCATATTGCCTGCTAGTTTTGTATGAGTATCAATAGCATTTCTACAAGGGCCAAACCACAATAACCAACCTAAATAACATCCTCTGGAACCTGATATGTGCCTTGCCTACATCTGCTCTATGTGGCTTACAACACTTTATCATGTATCTGGCTCAACTGAGATGACTGAACTCCAAGTTTCTATTAATAACACACTAAAATGGTATTTCCTCTCTATGGGTTCCTGAGCAGTTGTTCCATCAAAGCCTGTCATATGAAATAGTTGAAGAGGTTGCTGGAAAAGTAACTGAACATTTCAGAGGCTGGAAGTAGTTTCTGTCATAGACTATCTTACTTGGTTCTTTTATACTCAGGCTAAGTGTGAGATTTCCTCTGGGATTATTCATTATCTGCTCCAAGTCTTGGTTTCCCAGCACAAAATAGAAGTAAAGAAGATGACTAGGACAGAAAATTGCCTGTGACATTGCCGCGAAAGGGTCCATGGCCATCTGGCCTTAACTTTTGATATCTCTTAAAATATTTCACTTTATAGTGGAAAAAACCTATATGACATAATTCCACCAGCAATAGAAATCTGCATGTAAGTACATAGACACTAAGGCTTCTTCTCATTGCAACTTTTGAGAATGAATGTGTAGTCTCTTACCTTGTTGATGTACCAGGGATGGGACGTCCCGTATCCACCAGAACACACCAGCAGTAGCCTGTGGAAGGATGGCACTGCACTGGTTTGTAGAGGCCACCCTGAGCACACTCTGGAATGAACACATTGTCTTTCTGGGGCTGTTTAGCTTCCTCCAGGGCTGATTGAAGTTCTTGATCACATGATGATGCTTTTGGACAGAAAAGAAAAAGTACTGAAGAAGCTAGACTGGAAGAGCCTACTAGATTTATCAAACAGTTTTTATATCTTTGATTGCATATAGGGATTGTGCTTGAAGAGGCGTGCTACAGCTCAAATACCAGCTACGTTGGTCTAGGCTGTATGTATACTGTTAGAAGCTTTAGTTTCCTTTTCATGTAGCTATTCCATATTATAGTCCTAATAATATTTTGAACACCCCTTTTCCTATACTTGATCTATGGATAAACAAATACTTTCTCTGTGACCTTAAAAAATCCTCCTCCACTCCACAGTCCCTTAAGTACTGATTCTTTTCAGAGGGAACAGTAAAAATCCAACATCTTAGGATTTCTTAAACGGATTGTTCATCTAGATATTCATTTAGATTTTTATATTCTGCTCTTTCTTTCCAGTTTTGGAACAACGTCTTAACACAGTGAAAATTCTTCCACATTCTTTACTGGTGTTTCTGGTACTGGCAGTGTATCATTTGCTCTGGAGAGAAAAGACCCACAAGAAAAAGTAATACATTTTTATCTCATAATATCAATATGTCCTAGCTCTTTCTGAAGGTGCAAAAAACTTATGTATCTACACATTCCCAGCCTTTATATGAAACTATGAGGCAGCAGTGAAAGAGTAGAAACCACAGGGCCTGAGAATACCTGTCAGTTTACACCAGTAAAATAACATCAGTAAAATAACACCTCTGCTGAGGACTTTTGGTCACTACTCTGTGACCACGTAGAGATAATAAATGAGACAGGCTATTTAGTCAAGTCATTGTTTCTCCAGGGATTTTAGAGTCAGTCTCTTACCATATGAAATTTAGATGGTTAATAATACAGCTTCTGTATAATTCCCAAACTATCCAGTGGGGAAAAAAAATTGAAGTATTTGAAAACCAAGAATGTTAAGCACTCTACAAACACACAAATTCCTCATAGGAAAATCTGAAGTTACTAGAATTTCAATCAATAAAATATTCTCTTCAGATAAAGAAAAGTAATTTTAATGTTACAATAATAAAAGCAATCTGTGGGTAATATTTGCTTTTCTTTCATGTCGGTTAAAGGATTTGCTTCTTGACTTTTCACAGTTCAACCCACAGAAGAACAAGTTGAATCCTGACTGAATTTTCTAGTACATTTTAACAAATTTCAGCTTTAGTATAATCTCATTTACTTTTATCCACAGGGTTCAGAAAATGCTTTGCAAATTGTAGGCATCAGCTGACAGAAATTCACAAGTTATGTCCAGAATAGTACTGCTCCTTGCTAGCTTTTTGTAAATTCAGATGTCCAGAATCAGTAAAACTTCTGCTGCAGGGGAAAAGGTAGTAGGAAGTTAGACATGTTCATATTTTAAATGGCACATAATTCCATCTATACAATGTCCTGGTTTACAAAACAGTATGTTTTGTTCCAATCCATGTAAAAGGTTTAAAAACTAAGCATATTTAGCATATGCTAACTTGATTATAAGGCACAGATAGACATGTTTGGCTGACTTCTTTTCCTCTTTTTTTTCACATAGTATTTGAACAGGACATTTAGATAAGTTGATTGATTTTGCGTATTTTTTCTTGTTCAATCCACTGACATAAACAGAGATTGAATTGCACTCAAAGTGCCAGTGTTTAGATAATAAACAGTACTTAGAGAATCAGTGTAGTGGGGACAGAAATGCTCCTTTAAAAAAGGTAAATAAATAATTATTTACACATTGAAACCTTCACAGAAATAGCTATGGCTTCACAAATTAGAAATCCGTCATCAACTTCGTCTCAGAGTAGCCAAAATAAATCTTTCTTTCATTGTCTGGATTATGATGATTATCAAGTAACAAAGTATGACAGCCCTGGAAAACACATCACTTAACTTAGCTGTTCACTTTTAGCATTTTGTATATGATCAAGTAAAAAGGAGCAACCTGGGTGAAGTAACTGCAGTGAGAGGGAAGAAATCATTAATTGTCTTTAAACTCTGCTAAATTAATTTCTCTTTCATACTGATAAACCTTGAGACCATACCATTAGCTACTATGACCTTCTTTTGTTTTACATCCTTGTAACCAGCAACACAATCTCACAGATGTGCAAATATTATTATCTCTCCCAAACCCAGAGGTGGAATACATTTTCATGCTTCCAGCTTTGTTTAGAAAATACACTGGTGTATAAAGACTACATAGTCAGGTCATCCAGGCAGATAAAATGTAGCAGAAGGGAGGGGGTGTGATGGAAAATTCCCTGCTCAGGAGCAGATATGGACTGTTTCAGTTGTGAGCATAAGATACACTCCCTAATTTCTGTAAAGCTCTAATTTCTACTTATTGAAACAAGCAGCAGAGGACTGCAATGCTGACTCATGGGCCAGTCCAGTCTCCCGAGTTCTGGCGATTTAGGAGCTAGTGTAATAGACTTACATAAATGGTCTTTACTGATGGACTTGCTGAGGTAAGGTTTTCCACAAGCTGCGGTTCAAGCTAGAAATTTGTATCTTTTGCGCTAGGTCAGGTTTGTTCCGGTCCTTTTTCTCCCTTATGCCTGTTTTTAAATCTCACAAGTACAGAAAAGAAGCACTATGGGAAACATGTCACAGGACGGCTGCAAATGTGACTTATGGCTTTAGGAGGGACAGTCAGAAGACTGCTTGAACTTAACATTTCAAGTGAGACTGGAAACAGAGCAGACAGTGACAATAATCCAAGGAAAGTTTAAAGATAAAAAGGAAGGACTTTCACCTTCTTGGAACTTTGAATTTCTTAGCCTTCCCGGCAGATGGAAAATTGTAACATAAAAAGGAACTTCTCATTAGGCTTAAATTAGTTGTCAGATAAAACATAGATTATTTTTGAAAAATTAGAAAAAAATAAATTAATGTGATGGACACCATGCTTTTCAGTTCTCTATGAACCAAATAACTAAGTCTTATTACAAATCTGCTGAACCCAGTTCATTCACTTTATCCAGCAAAAGTGCAGAATAGCTTATCATTTTTCTCCCTTCTACAATGGCTAATTAGCTTCAGATCAGCTACCAGGCAATGTGCCTTGTGACTGCCCAAGAGAGCAATTTCTGAAGTCTAATGGTTTTGTACACTTTTCACATGACCATTTGTGCCACCATTACTACTTCTTTGTTTGTTTTCCCCACTAGAACACTGTTCCTACCTCAAAGAAAACTGCTCTAAACTGCTTATCTATAATCCTACCTGCCAGAGCCAGAATATTCATTCTCTGTGTAATTTCCTCTCTGAGGGAACCATTCATTCCCTTTCAAACTTTTTGTTCAATTATTTACAACAGGAGTAGTGGAAAGATGCAATTGTAGTCCTGTGATGCTAAGAGCCCTTATCACAAGAACTACCATATCGCTGCAAATAATTGTCTTTGTAATGTCAGAGGAGTCACGGTCAACAAATGTTCATTTCCCAGGAGAACCAGTGATAAATGTCATTAACTTAGAAAATGCCTGACAGTTTGTCCAAACAATCTGATGTCAACTATGAACTGGAACCATAACAGATGGATGCCAGAAGTTCATAAAGTGAACAGTATGGAGAAAGATCTATGCCACAATAAAAGTAGCATAAGTACCTGACTTATTAAAATACATCAACTTTCTATGCCATGTATTACTACAATAACACTCCCTCTGGGAACAGAAAAGCACTGACACTCCAGTTTCTTCTTCTCAAGGAATGTGCTTACACTATTGTTATTTCACTTAGTTCCTTCGGTTTTGTCTTGCTGGAAAATAAAAAATGGTTTCCAAGCATCTTAGTGAAAAAAATAATTAGAAATGGCTGAAAAGTCCTTTCTGCATAGCCTACCATGTTAGTCAGCCATACTGTAGCTCAGTTGGGATAATTTATTTCAGGTTAATAAGCATTTCTGCAGTTTCTACCCAAAACTATATTTTATTTAAGTTCATAAGCATTGGTGATTCAACACAGACATTTCAATCATGTAATGAAGTATATCCTTTTGCCCTGTTTTACACCAAGAGCCTTTGTACCACCATTTTTCAATGAAAAAATAAAATTCTTGCTCACAACTAAGAGTGAGTTTAAAAAACTACTTAAGATATAATGTATGTTACTCTTTCTATATCACAGTGCTATTCTGTTTCTTCCCTTTTTACTTTAAAGGTTAATTACTAAATGCTTTTTTTGGTGTTCTGGTTCAAGATTCCTTTATAGTCCATTACAAACAACCAGCTGAAATGCTGCATCTTCTGTCTGCATCTTCAGCTAATGACAAACTCTGTGGATAAGTTTCATATTTTGTGTAAAATCTGCAGTCAGTTCTTTTTGTCAGTTATTCCTAAGAAGACAGTCTGCCTTTCAATGAATCGAGTTCATTTACACGAACAGAAAAATATCTCAGTAGAAATAACACCACAGATCCTTATTTATGAAAGGCTCCATTTATTCATCTCTGATGGACTACCTAAACTGTTAATTAATGTTTACTAGGGAATATCCTAGAGGAGAAATGCAGTGACTTTTCTGGAAAAGTCATCCTGAATAATGTATGAAACTGTATTTTTCTGTTGCACATCTAAAACACCAAGTACTGTGTTATGTAAGTTATGATAATCACCTTGTTAGTCTTGTAACAGGAGATGTTTTGGCCCCTTGTTTCAGAAATTCTGGCAGTTTTTCTGCTGTGTCTTATCACAACTTTTCCCAAAATGCGGACTTCCATGATTACAAATGATTTGAGTTGGCGTTTTTTGTGTAAATATAAATCGCTGTATTTATGTCTAAATTTCAGTGTGTTCTGCAGAAACAACTTGTCAAATCTGCAGAAAATTACAAAGGCATCTGTATGGTACTTTAACATTTCCTGCCATTATACAAACATTTCCTTCCAATTTCCTTAACCCTACAATGTGTATATGACAAACAGAATTCTTTCCAAGAAATTCTGTTTTCAGTTGGTTCCTTCTCCCTCTTTTTCTCATTACGATAAATAGGCCAT